TTATTCTTGTTCAAAGTTATAAAAAATCTTTATTATAAAAAATTTGCTTGATTTCTATTGACTCAACCCCATATATTTATGAGATTACTAAACTTAGTACGTTGCTAATTTTGCTAATTTGTAATTAGTGTAACAAAAAATACCGATCCTTCGACTTTACAGATCCGACCAACCTTGAGCATATTGGGCCAAGTCGATATGGCATTTTTAAAATTAAATTTATTAATGCTCGGGCCGTTTTCCACGATACCAATTTACCAATTTGATGAATTATAACATAAGCGAACATCTTCCAAGAGCATGGATAAACACTCTATTAACTATATAAGAATAGTTTCAATAGTAAAGTGGAGTTTTATGTGGATACTCTAGTCCGGAGACTTTCCCTTTTTTATATCACATTTTCATGTCACACCTGCTTTAGATGATCTCTATATTTGGATCCCTCCTCCTGTATCAAGGTATAAAACTTTTTGTACGTAAGTACGTACGAATAAAGCAGTTTAAACCCTTCGAGCTCGGCAAAATTCGTTTTCATACGCTTGCTTCCTTCTCTTACTAGCCTTCTATGATCATTTTACCGTATATAGATCGTACGAGCCGTAATAATTAATATACCTTGATTTCGTTTTATTGTCTCCTTTTTCAATAGCAAGAATGGCAACTTTCGATAGCTTATCTATCAAAATCGAACAAGCAGTCAATCGCTGTCTAGAATCTCAGGAGCAACTTGAAGATAATATCAAAAAATGTCTGGTGCCGCTTGCAAATGCAAACAAAGAAATTGTTGATTTAAGGAAGTCAACTCTTGAACATGTCTTCAAAAAGTTATCTGCGAGAATTTCTGTAAATATACAATACTATTTAATAGTGTTAGTAATTTTCAATGTAAAGCTCTTTCTAATTTTTTTTAAATTTTTGTTCATATTAGACATATCCACCTGATCGTCTCATACCAGCCGCATTCAAGCTATTGAATCTTGTGCTAGGATGTCATGAAGCTGAGGGTTGTAAGTGAACTCAAGCTTTAAATTTGTATAGCAATAATGTAAATTATTGTTGAGAAATAAAATAATTAATATTGTTTTTACTTTAGCTTTATGTGAACAAGCCATAACTTTGACGATCTTAGAAGAGTTGATGGAGACGCAACCTCTTGAGGTCTGCGAAAAACTATATAGCTTCTTGGAAACAAACAAGAAAAGGTTGCTTGTGGTATGCTAAAATTTGAATTTGAAAATTAATTACATCAATTTATAAAGTTCCATTATCAGTAACTAGATTTTTATTATTCGATCGTACAAAGAATTTGATACCAACACAGGGAAAGGGTCTAATTTTATTAAGACTCTCGAACGAACTAATACGTAGAGCATCCAAGTCAAATCATAATGCATTCCGTGGCAGAATCTTAATATTTCTATCTAATACCTACGCACTTGGTGAAGTTTCAGGCATGTATCAAGTAATTTTTTAATTTAATATTTAAATATAATTGTTTTAATTTGCATGATATGCTAACAATTTCATGTTTAATAGGTGTTAACAAAGGGGGTGAATGTAATGTTGATAATGTTACGCATTATAGCGCGACACAGGATGGTATGGAATTAACTATTCAAATTATTTAGAGACAATCAAAAAAATTTTTTTTTTTTTTTTGTTAATGGATATATGGTTATATCTACATTTTAGGAGATGAAGCTGCATTTTATAATACTTTTTGGAGTCTTCAAACTTATTTTAGCAATCCGCCGAAATTGTTCAAAGACAATAATTTGGAAGTTGTTCTTAATGTAAGCTGGTACAACTAGTCAATATCATTCTTTATGGTTACCTTTCATGACTTAAACGGAACATGGCCAAAAGAATATTGGCATCGTTTTAAACAGGTTTTCCGATATTATTTCTCGTGAAAAACTCAAGACTGCTGAAGAAAATTTAGGGGGAAGTCGAAATAATGATTTTGAATTTGGACTTCCTTCTCCTCCAAGTGATGATGGACGTGGAAAGAAAAGAAAATTTATGGAAACTGATGAGGAAGAGTCAATAACTTTTTCTAAGGATTACGTTAAATATTTTCCTAAATATCTGTCGAGTTTTGCATTATTCGATAAAGAGGTACAAATATTTTACTGTCTAAAATTTACTTATTAGTTCTCATTAACAAACACTACAATATTCTTACTTTTAAAGATATCCGATCCAAACTTCCGAAGAATTGTATTAGTACAAATTCTTATTATAATGCAGTATCTTACAGGATTTTTCCCAGAGGAGCAGGCTCGTATTAACAAAGCGAAAGCACCCCACGATACTGCCGCTGTTCAATTACCCACCTATACGATCATGGAACCACAAGTTAGTCATAATATAAATTATCGTTACGAGACATATATCACATTAGATTCTGATTTTACGAAATAATAGCAACATATGGTCCAAGAAATATGGAATAAAATCATTGGACAACTTGAAGAAACAACAGCAAATGGAAAAAATTTTGTTCGAACAATACTGCATATACTTAACATGGAAAAACGATGGAATTATTGGAAATTTGCTGATAATTGCTCTTTTGGATCCGATAAAGAAACTAAAGATAAAGCAGAAAGAGCGCGTGAAGATTTTGCCGAAGCTTTGAAGAGAAAGGCTAAAATGAATAAACCTATGGAACCTTTCGAACATAAATCAAACAAACTTTCGGAATTTTGGACGAGAAATGATAACGTTGATGATGATGAATTCATGGCAGATGCTTCCCGTCAAATAATACCACCGGATTTTTATACAGTATACGAACGAATAAGGCAAGATGGGTATCCGGTAAGTTATAGTCAGGGGTATTTTATAATTTCTATTTATTGCTAAAGTTCCTAACATTACATTTTAATTTATGATTTTATGTAGCCAGAGATAGGGTTTACCTTAGATCCATCAGATACTGTGGAAGAGAAGGAAATAAAAGAAAAATGTTGGGTAATTAATCACTTTTACGTTTGGAACGGTTTAAATTGGAATAAAATCATTATTATTTGTGGCAGATTAAAATGAAAATTTGGGTATAATTTATAGTAAATAGATATACAGTCTACCCTCGTTATAACATAGTGATCGAGCTGAGAAATTCTATCCGTTATAATGAATATCCGCTATAGCGTTATATATTAAATAATAAAAATTTTAAATTGTTCTAAAGAATTACTCCGTTATAATGAGGGTAGACTGTAAATTGGTTTTAGGAGGATAAATAGAAACCCCAAATTTCATTTTAATCCGATTTCATATGATCCGCGACATTATTTATCCAATATAATAACATTATTTATCTGATACAATAACTATATATTAGGTAAACAAATGGTTTGCTTTGAGAACTGCTAGACATCATTATTTACTTCATTTTAACAAACCGGTCAAAAAAGATGCGAAACTTAAAAATGCAAAGGAAGATGAAGAAAAGAAAGATGACGTAGAAGCTTTGAAGATGTTGATTGATGAAAATCCTACTTGTAGTAGTGGCATCGTCACGAAAAAGTGAAAGGTTAAGAAAAATGAATAAGTTTTGTAACTAGCAAAAATGGATAAAGGAAGTGCGTTTTCCTTTTAATAAAGGTAGACTTCTATGTATGTCTCGAATAAGTGCTTGATATCTCTAGCATTAGCAATAGAGTTTCGTTCGCACATGACTGATCTGCAATCTGGCGGAATTGGTCATTTTATTTAGATCGTCAAATCTAATACGAATACAGACTTTTCTAAAGTAGAATTTCATATTGGTCTAATTACAAACATAGCAGATAGTGCAGGTTACATAATGATAACCACTAATTCAGATTTTTATAATAAAATTTTTTGGCCATATTAAACCAAAACGGAATTTATTATGTTTTAATTTCTCGCGACATTTAATATTTTTTATATCGTAATATTGTTGGGATTTTATTTTACTAAGACCACTTAAAAATCAATCTTTTGTTTAATATAATTTTTCTATTTTTTAAAAAAATTTGTAAAAAAACTTTTATATTAATCAGTTAAATTGTAGTATTAACTTTATATTTTTAGATTTTAGTATCTTTTACAAGCAATTCTTTGTGAAGTTTATAGTTATAGTTGTTTAATTAACAACATATTATATATGTTTGAAAATAAGTTACTTTTAATAATAAGCTATTTTTTTTGTTTTTTTAAAAAATTTAAAAAAGAATCACAAATAGTTATTATATATAAAGACTAAAATTTCACTAAGCAAATTAGCTTTGGGTTTTTAAATAAATTTGTTTAGAATATCAAGATATATGTTATTTGCAAAATTTTTTGCTAAAAAAAATAACTTGTTTTTATATATAGTTTAACTTTTATGTAATCATATTGCTAATATAAAGAGCCCAGATACAACTTGTCTTAGTGGCTCTCTGCTTTTCTCTAGGTCTTTAATTTACTAGAAGCTAAATCTTTTAATCATTAACAGATATTATATACTTTATTAATATTGACTTTTCTTTTACAAAAATGAAATACAAATACAAATTCAAAAAAATAAAGCAAATAAATAAGGAAATACCTTAACTTCTAGAGTCTAAACTACCTATACAACAAATAAAACTAAATATAACAAATAATCAAAACAAAAACAAAATAAAAGAAAAAAACAAAAATAGCATTATTAAACTTTTGTAAAGTTATAAAAATAATATAGTACTACTAAGTTTAATTTCTATACTATAGTTGTTATCATAAAAAGATATCAACTTTTAATTATAAAATTTTAAATTTTTTACAGTATAATTTTTTAAAATAAAATAATTTTTAAAAAAATTTTTATATATTGTTTAAACTATCAAATCTACAAACCTTTTTTAATATCTTTTATATTTTTAATAATTTATATTATTTAAATTTTATATATAAAATATAGCTTTATCTTTAATAATTAAAAAAAATTTTATATATAAGGCTACACAAATTTAATATCTTGGTTTTCATAACATGAAAATTTTAAACAAACCTAGCTGGCTGGTTTTTTTTTTTAAATTTCATATATAAAAATTTTATAAATTTTTTTTTTAAAATTTTTTTAAAAAGCCTACCCAGTTATTAAAACATATAAAAAAATTTTTTTACAAGATTTTAAATTTTGATCTGGCCAGGTTATGAAAACCAATTAATTAATTTTGCATAGGCTAATTAAAAAATTTTGATATTTATATATAAAAAACATAACAAGATTTAAATTTATTAAATTTTATTAATAAAATTTAAAATTATTTTAAATATTTTTTCTACTGATCCTCTATATACAAATCTATAAAAATAAAAATTAACAAAAATTATAAAGATTACTAGAAAACCAGATTTGTAGCTCTAAAAAAAAGGAAAAGACTATCAGAAATACTCAGTCTCTTAAGAGACTTGAGTAAGATAAACAGAAGCAGCAAAAATATAAAAGAAAATATAAAAAATTGTTAATAATTTTTATGCTTTATAAATTTTTAGAAAATTAGTTTTGACTCTGTAATACAGATCTGTTTTGGTAATACAAGATTTACAACACACAATAAAGAATAAATAAAAGAAACACATTAAAAACTTAGAGTTGGGGTATAGGCATAAGGCATGCTTTTTGGGGATGCCTTCTGGTCATGCCTGGGTGCATGTCTTTAGGCCAAAAGGCATACCTCTATCATGTAATATTCAATTTTAAAAATTATATGATAATTTAATATGCTGATTGGCTATTGACAAAAATATTAGGCTAAATAAACAGACAAGAATATTTAAACTTTAGGTTTTATTGAAATATAATATAAATTCAAAATACTAATTAATAACCCAGTTTTAATTTATACTTTTGTTATGATTTATTTGGCATATTTATTACTCCATTTTACATTATTATTATATTACATAAGGTAGCTGTGCAATGCTGTTATGTGAAACCAGAAACATATATTCAATAATTTATTAAATAGATGTTTTAATGATAAACAAATTTTTTTATTATGATGAGCGATCAAGAATCAAAATTTATGTTCATACTGGTTTACTATATTATATGTTTGATTTTGTTGTTTTTAAAAATAATTATATATATTTTATTTAGGGCTTTATTTTGTAATAATTGTTAGAGAGCTTCCAGAAATTAGCTAATTAGGATTTACTAATAAATCATTCAAACCCACCCCACCCCCTTATCTGCTAGCCAATCAGATTTGAATGTATCTATTTGCACATCAGCTTACGTAATGTTCTGTGATCATCTATATATAATCTGGTCAATCAGAATCATTTATGATATTTTTTATAATCATTATGTTAAATAATTTTTAATAAATAACTAGTACAACGTTTATTACTTTACATGCCATATTCAGATATTTACAACGGTACCCAGTAGTATTTTCTACTTTTATTTTGCAAATTTTTAAGCTTTTACATACTTTGATTTCTTTAAGACTAAGTATTTTGCTCAAAATAAATAAAATTTTAGCTTTAAAATTGCCCTGCTATAACTTTAACTCTACAATTTAATGTCTTTAGTATATGCAAAAAATAGTCAAAAGATTTCAATAAATAAGAAAAAATACCAATTTGCTTCAAAATTAGAATTTAGTCAATTTTTATTTCTTATTCACTACGTTCTCTATTTCATATCTTATTCATAACATATATTTTATATATATATATATATATATATTTTTTTTTTAGTTATTAAGGCCGATGTTACAGAGCTTACTGCCTTTATTTGTGTTTTTAGTTAATGCATTACATAT